ACCGTTTATCCATCCAGCATTCATCCATCCAACATTCATCCAACATTCATCCATCTGTTTATCCAACATTCATCCATCCATTCATCCAACCTTCCAACATTCATCCATCCATCCAACCATCCAACATTCATCCAACCTTCCAACATTCATTCATCCATCCATCCATCCAACCGTTTATCCATCCAGCATTCATCCAACCATCCATCCATCCATCCATCCAACATTCATCCATCCAACCATCCAACATTTATCCATCCATCCAACCATCCAACATTCATCCATCCATCCAACCATCCAACATTCATCCAACCATCCAACATTCATCCATCCATCCAACCATCCAACATTCATCCAACCTTCCAACATTCATCCATCCATCCAACATTCATCCAACATTTATCCAACCATCCAACATTCATCCATCCGTTTATCCAACCATCCAACATTCATCCATCTATCCAACATTCATTCATCCATCCAGCCAGCCAGAAGAATGTTGAGTTCAGTTTTTGTCAACAATAAAAATAAACCAGTCCAGGGTGGACCCCACCCCCACACAGTGACCCTGGGAGGAAGCAGCGGGTTTAGAGGATGGATGAATAAAAACAAACACAAAGTTTTTGTCGTTCAGATGAAACGTGTTTTGGGGAGAGTGGTCTTCCTGTCGGCAGGAGATTCTATTTTACTGTTAAAATAATCTTAATTTTGTTTTCCTTTTTAAACAGGCAGCAGTCTGAACGCCATCTACCGTTACTATAGAAACCGAGGAGACCGGCCCAAGATGAGGTGGAGTGTGATCGACCGCTGGCCCACGCACCCTCTGTTGGTGGAGGTTAGAACCCCAGATCTGATCCAAACTGAGTGTGTTCAACTGAAACTACATCAGATGAGGGGTTCAGCCAGGAGAATCACTGATACAAATATTTGTTTGTTTGTTTGTTTGTTTTTCAGTGTTTTGTGGAACACGTCAGAAACGAGCTGCTGAAGTTTCCTGAAGAGAAACGAGACGACGTGGTGATTCTGTTCTCTGCTCACTCTCTGCCCATGGCTGTAAGTTTACCTCCTTACTGTAGTACAAGTACACAGCTGCAGTACAGGTACACAGCTGTAGTACAGGTACACAGCTGCAGTACAGGTACACAGCTGCAGTACAGGTACACAGCTGTAGTACAGGTACACAGCTGCAGTACAGGTACACAGCTGTAGTACAAGTACACAGCTGTAGAACAGGTACACAGCTGTAGAACAGGTACACAGCTGTAGTACAGGTACACAGCTGTAGAACAGGTACACAGCTGTAGAACAGGTACACAGCTGTAGTACAGGTACACAGCTGTAGAACAGGTACACAGCTGTAGAACAGGTACACAGCTGTAGTACAGGTACACAGCTGTAGAACAGGTACACAGCTGTAGAACAGGTACACAGCTGTAGTACAGGTACACAGCTGTAGAACAGGTACACAGC